GCTTAACAAAGTATGTATTGTTAGTTTGCTATAGATTTGTTAGTTTCCTAATGATTTGGATTTTTTCCTTATTCTTCTCATCAAAAACAAATTGACAAACACAAAAGAACATTTATTAACATTTACTAGAATACTAACCTCCATGTGTGTTCATATCCTTATCTATACAGTAGGAAATAATAATAGAATCTGCTTCATGTGATTTTTGAGAGAATTGATTTTATCTGTTTAAGGACTCATAATAAATTCTCACTTGCATTAAAAATATATTATTACTGCAAGAACTTTCTTAACTGATAACTGTTTAATAAAGGAATTCATTTCATGTTTTAATATTGTAGTGTTTAATGTAGATATACATATACAAATTATATATATACATAATTTTCCACAATTCTTCAGTATGATCAACTTTTCCCATTAGCTGATTAATTACTGACTGATTCTATTGGGAAAAGGGCTTCTATTCTTTTATTACTTGTTAAATAAGAATAGAGATCATATGAATGTCCCCTATATCATTATTTTACCTGTATTCATGAACTTCAATATTTTATAATATAAAAGAGGAAATGGGAGTTAGGAGAATGAAGACAATGTTAAAGAAGAGAGTCTGTCTTTAACTAGCAGTGAAGTTAACTGACAGTTAATAATTGCCAATAAGTGATTTGAGGAATGTTACTTTGCTTGTAATTGGGAACATTTAGGCAAGTTTATATGCTGAAGATTACCTCGCATGATAGTAGACTCTGATAATGAAGGAGAGAGAATAACCAAGTTAAGGCAGTAATTGCCTAAGTTATAGGGAGTGGGTTGCAAAGCAAGTGGATGTACTTATTTGACTTTGATAGAAGAACATTTTTCACCTTAACAAAAAATGTAAAAACAAAAAGACCAAAAACGTATCTATCTATTCTATATACCTACTTATCATCTACCTCTCTACATATGCATACACATACATGTGTGTCATTCATAAATATAAATATTTCTCTCTGTATAACTTCATCTCTTTCCCTCTAGTTCTGTTTTAGCCTTTGAAACTAACTAAAATCTGCAGCTGGAACAAGCTTCAGTTCCTACAAGACTCAGAATAGATCTGGTTTTCACAGGTCCACACTGTAATGCACCCTTTATCAGAACTGCTTTTGAATAGACAGTAGGGCAGAGATAAGATTTAACGCTTGCATCCTTAAAGATTGCATCCTAAGGATACAAGAACTAATCAGACTTTCCCATCATAGGTTGTTAAACAGTTAAAATATGTGAAAGCATCTTGGTAGAATCAACTTGGTAGACACTTGTGTCCTTTTCTGCCTGTAACTTTCCAAGTCCTTTTAATTTGTTTCTTTTCACTATCTCTGAATTTGTATCCACTATCCAACCTGCATTGATTGATTCAAGCTCTCGTTATATCTCACTTGGACTATTGCTGTTGTTCTTTTATTATGCTTTTGCTTCTAATTTCTCCACTAGTGTGATTTCCCCTAAAATATGAACATGATATTCATATAATGACCCATAGGCCTCATAAGATAAAACTCAAGCCTTTGGCTTGGTGTAGATATATTTAATTATAATAAAAAAAAATCATTCAGAACCAGCTACATAATTTTGTGTCTAGTGAAAAATTAAAATACTGGGTCACTTGTTCATAAATGATTATGAATTTCAACATAATGAGACAAGCATTTAACCTAGCTCAGGATTTTCTAAGCATGAGGCCCGTCACCATGGCATAAGTAGCACACACATGATGCTGGCCTTGATCTCACCATCTGCCACACCATTTTCTAACGTTTCTTCACAAGTACCCTCGAGTTGAGGAACGCATCAGTAATTATACATTCTCAACTATCTATTGTGCTTTGCTCCTTCCATGTGTCTACAATGCCCTTCATCATCTTTTTCTGAAAAGACTTTCTTTCTTGGATCTGCTCAGAAAAATGCCCATCTTCTTTTTATGGACTGAAATCTTTTCTCTTAACATCTGAAAACTTCTCTGAAAAATTTAAGATTTTGATCACTGTTTTCTGGATAACACCATCATACTTAGTATGTACTCATGTTTGTACTTATTACATAATTGCAGAATTTACTTATATGTTTTTCTCCAAGCCTAGATTAGCCCCAATAGAAACAATCTATACTTTAATTATATTTTAATGTCTCATGCTTGGTTCAATGCCTGGCATGCATTAAACACTCTGTAAATGTATTCTGGAGGATTCATAATTATAAAAATGCTAAATATTTTAAAGTAGTGAGCCACTAATATTTGCACTGCTTATGAATGTTCTAAGTGTCAAAACTTACTATACAATTTTAGTTCAAATTAAGTTTGTTTAGGTTATAGATTTTGAGAGAATTTGAAACTATTTTATATTTGAAGACATTTGGAATCATCAAAATGGAATTTTAAAGCATTCTACTAGGCAAGTCATGCACAGTCATTTTCAAAACCCACTCTGATTTATCAATTCTCTTACTCCAACTAGGGAAGGGAAAGCAACTGAGATTTTTATATTTCAACTGATATTTGAATAAACTGCTTCATCTTTATCATTATTTCTGCTTAAATTTGTTTCTCTGATATTGTATGGATAAATTACTAGTATAAAGCACATATTATTAGAAATAATAAGTTTGAACGTGAAAAAGNTTTATATTTCAACTGATATTTGAATAAACTGCTTCATCTTTATCATTATTTCTGCTTAAATTTGTTTCTCTGATATTGTATGGATAAATTACTAGTATAAAGCACATATTATTAGAAATAATAAGTTTGAACGTGAAAAAGAAAAAGTGAAACTGTTAGTAGTTTCCAGCTCTTTGCAACACCATAGACTGTAGACTGCCACTCTGTTAATGGAATGCTCTAGGCAAGAATACTGGAGTGGGTTGCCGTTCCCTTCTCCAGGGGATCTTCTGTGCCCAGGCATCAAAACCATGTCTCCCATTTTGAGGACAGATTCATTACCATCTGAGCCACTAGGGGATAAAGCAATGATATATGTCACATGACTATCTTGTAGGCACTTCTCTAGATGTTATAGGAATCAGAAGGACACATAGCATCAAAGAAAATGCATCAGTCAAAATGGTGATTATAAATAAAGAAGAGGCATACATTTTTAAACAGGTTATTTTAGAATCATGTGCAGGTTTGATTTAATGAAATATATTTTTAAAATATAGTGGGTAAAATTTTTATTTGCTTATACAATGGTTTGAATGTCTGTATCCTCCAAAATTCACATGCTGAAACCTTAATACATAAGGTGTGCCCTTTGGGACGTACTTAAATCAGGAATGTGGAGCCCTCATAAACGGGATTGGTGCTCTTTAGTTCTACAGAGCTCCCCATCCCTGCTATCATGTGAGGACACAAGGAAGCTGCAGACTATGAATCAGGAAGACAGTACTCACCAGATATGACCATTACCTCTGTATTAATCTTGGACTTACCAGCCTCCAGGACTGTGAGGAATACATTTTTATCGTTTATAAGCTAACCAGTCTATAGCACTTTCTGACAGCAGACCAGATGGGCTAAGTCTTCTTCAGTCAGTTCAGCCACTCAGTTGTGTCTGACTCTTTGTGACCCCAAGGACTGCAGCATGCCAGGCTTCCCTGTCCATCACCAACTCCCGGAGCTTGCTCAAACTTATGTCCATTGAGTGAGTGCTGCTATCCAGCCATCTTATCCTCTGTCATCCCCTTCTCCTCCTGCCTTCAGCCTTTCCCAGCATCAGGTAGTCAGTTTTTCTTTTCTGAGTCAGTTCTTCTCATCAGGTGGCCAAAGTATTGGAAATTCCTTGAAATTTCCAATTTCTGAAAAAGCTTCAGCATCAGTCCTTCCAATGAATATTTAGGACTGATTTCCTTTAGGATGAGGATCTCCTTGCTGTCCAAGGGACTCTCAAGAGTTTTCTCCAACACCACAGTTCAAAAGCGTCAATTCTTCAGTATTCAGCTTTCTTTATAGTCCAACTCTCATATCCATACATGGTTACTGGAAAAACCATAGCTTTGACTAGATAGATCTTTGTTGGCAAAGTAACATCTCTGCTTTTTAATATGCTGTCTAGGTTGGTCATAACTTTTCTTCCAAGGAGCAAGCATCTTTTAATTTCATGGCTGCAGTCACCATCTGCACTGATTTTGAAGCCCCCAAAAATAAAGTCTGTCATTGTTTCNTCTTTGGCATTGCCTTTCTTTGAGACTGGAATGAAAACTGACATTGACCTTTTCCAGTCCTGTGGCCACTGCTGAGTTTTCCAAATTTGCTGGCATACTGAATGCAGCACTTCCATAGCATCATCTTTTAGGGTTTGAAATAGCTCAACTGGAATTTCATCACCTCCACTAGCTTTGTTCATTGTGATGCTTCCTAAGGTCCCCTGGACTTCCCACTGCAGGATGCCTGGCTCTAGGTAAGTGATCACACCATTGTGGTTATCTGTGTCATTAAGATTTTTTTTGTATAGTTCTGTGTATTCTTGCCACCTCTTCTTAATAGCTTCTGCTTCTGTTAGGTCCATACCATTTCTGTCCTTTACTGAGCCCATCTTTGCATGAAATGTTCCTTTGGTATCTCTAATTTTCTTGAAGCAATCTTTAGTCTTTGCCATTCTATTGTTTTCTTCTATTTCTTTGCATTGATCACTGAGGAAGGTTTTCTTATCTTTCTTACACATAGTATAGAATCCACCAAAAATAAGCTATGCTTAGCAAACAAATTTAAGATGCTAAACAAAACAGCATTATTAATAGGTTTTAAAAAGCATACCAAAAATTCCTACTTTTGTTTCAATTTTAAACTTAATATAATGAGGCAAATCATGATATTTAATTTAATTATAGCAATTGGGAGTTAGATTATAAATCTATTTAAAATTTTTGGTTCTCTAAAAAGTAAGTATGGAAATTTTTTTTGTCTCTTTTTATGCTACAAGACAATAATATCATGAAAAAAATGAAAGAAAATTCAGTTGTCCAATATAAGTATATCAGCAGGAATTTATTTACGTGAGTAAGCTAGTAGGAAGCTAGGCAATAGGAATAGAGACCCTTATAAAGATTTCAAATGAATATCCTTACAGTGATTTCAAATGAAGAAAAAAAGAATAATTTTGCTGAAATTCCCAGCTTCTTATGAGTTGATTTGTTTAATAACTGACTAAAGTATCCTTGAGATGCCTACGAATGCTGGTATAGGAATGGTCCCATTTTCCAAAGCCTGGAATAATTCCATTATGGTACAAGGAGTTTTTCACTGTTGTATCCTAGAAAAAAAGGATTATTAAAAATAATTAATCCTATCAATCCTAAGGTTATAAAGCATAAATTTCATATAAAACAAGTAGAAGCAAACAGTATGAATCTCTCTTAAGATATTGTGGGTAGAATTTTCACCTAAGCAAAATCTATAAAAAATACAATTATACACTATTTTCTATGAAATAAAACCCTTTCAATATTTATATCTAGAAGTTATTTCTCAATGGAGTGTTTTTTTTAATTTTTAAAACAAGAATATGAGGAGATATTATATTTGAAGTTATAAAGCATGTTTTTTTCGCTGAAAAATTTTATACATGATATTTAGCTTATCATCTTGACACTGATATTAAAGCAGATTAAACAAGGAGTTATCTGCCCAATTTTTATTACTTGTCAATATTTTAAATTATTATAGTAACTGGAAGAGCTTGTATTATAATAAATTGTTTAATGTCTCTCTTTGGATCCTCCAAATTAGGAGGGTAACTATCTATGGTGCCCCTCCTTAGAAGAGGTTAGACTCCTCTGTTCCACTGATGCCGGCTAGTTCTGTGTAACTTGTTTTGGCTAATGGATTGAGACATGGGGTTTGCGTTTCCAAAAAGAAGCTTCATGAGCCACTGGCAATTTCCAACACTATCTCTCTTTAGTCATGTGAGAGCAACACTCTGAGTCTCAGCCAAATGTAGGCAAGTGTCAATCTATTCTAGATAAGTGTGTGAGAAGTGAGCCTTTGTTGTAGAGAGTAACCCAGGCCTGGGAATCATTTGTACCATGGCAAAATTTAGCCTAATCTGGAAGATCACATTAATATTTAAAAATAATTCTATATTCAATTTTGTTTATATTGACTTTAGTTTGAACAGAGAACAAAATAAAAGCCATGGAAAATAGGTGATATTTATAAGTAAGTAAAGGGAATGAGTTTGTGTTGAATGCCTACTGTCTCATTTAATGCTCATAATAAACATGAAGGATGGGGAGTATTTGATTACTTTTCAGTAGAAGATATTAAGGCAGTTTTTAATAAAATATTCTAGCTGACTTTTAGAGTTGATGTGAAAAATTACATGTTGTTTAAATATATAATAATAAAATGATGTTTAATTCTTAGAATATAAATACTTTGCACCTATTAAAACATAGAAAATGTCTGTAAAACAACTCTGAAAACAATGATATTCATGTTAGGATTAATTTAATTTGAAAGATATTATAGTTAGCTGTAAGTTATATCAAGCTGCAGGAAATAAATATGTTATTGTTCTTACAGCATAACTTTTTGTTTTTAGTTCAGTATGCTTTGTCTATTTTGTGCAGCCAATTAATTTAATTCTCATGCTTCATTTCTTCATTTGCAGGGCTGAAAAACTTTTTATCATGTAATATCATTGTATTAGTTTCCATTCAATTATTACAAAGAAAAAATTGTCAAAAAGGTAAATTTACAAAAGCACTGATAATTAAAATAATACTAATTAAAGACAGAGAAAATGAATCTGGGCAGTAAACAGATACTTCAAAGTGGTAATCCAGATAGTTCAGGATGCATTTATAATATTTTTCTATTAACATTGATAGTAATAAGAAGTAATAATATCACAAAGACATCAGTTGTTTCACTGAGATCTGAACTTATGGAACCTAAGGGACAAGTGTTACACAGGTTGAAAAATTCCAAATTAGGACTTGGAAATATTAAGCAACCTGTGAGTCATGCAGCTCAAAAATGGTAAAGCCCAGATTTGAATCTGATTCAATTTTTTCTTTTGTTATCACTAAATGTTTAGATAGAGCATAATACTCCTTAAGGTTCAGTTCAGTTCAGTCACTCAGTCATCTCCGACTCTTGGCGACCCCATGGACTGCAGCACACCAGGCCTCCCTGTCCATCACCAACTCCCGGAGTTTACCCAAACTCATGTCCACTGAGTTGGTGATGCCATCCAACCAT